TTAAAATAAAAAGAATTATTACTCTTCATGGAATAGATCTCAAAAGCTCAGGAATTATTGCGTCAATTTTACTCGAATTGATCGCAATCGAAAGCTTAATCAAAATTATGCAAAAATAGTGTTGTTAGATTTTTTATTACAGTTCTATTTCTAGAAATATTTTAATTTGGAAACACTTTTAACATAAGAATTCCAAATAAATGACTTTGTCTCGACGATGTGCCATGAACAAACACGACATAATCACGGCTAGTTGCTTTTTATATACTTGACGTCGCGACGCTACCGCATCATTTGATGGCGAATGAAGTGAAAAATCCCCGCAAAAAAATTATTTTTAATAATCTCTTATCGTAAAATGTGTATAATAATAGCACAAATCAATATTAATAATACCCTACCTTTGCGCAATTATAATTATAAATTAATTATTTTTTAGACTGATATGTAAAATTCTACATTTCTCCCTTTAAAATTTTTCCTTCTTATAAACGCAAAAAAAATGAACACTACAATAAAGTGGTTGGAATTTGTATTAAGCGCTGTGCATGATATATATTTTATATTTCTCGCGACGTGCTCAATAGGCTAACTTAAGGTAGTAAAACTTTTTTAATGACTCTGAAGATTGTAGTTAGAATGGATTTCCTGAGATAAGTTTGCTATCGCAAACTTTAAGATTAAGAATCGGGTCGTGCTTAATCCGCTTTGAAAACTGCGAATACCGCAATAGGCAAAAAGGGCAAAATAAAAAATAACGTCGTAGAAAAGCACCACTACTCATCTAAATACAAGAAGCTTGCCTCATATGAATATGTACATGTATCGAATATCTTGATAATAACACTCCTTCAGCGTTATGCTCGATAAAGCTTCCGTGTTCCTGATATACAGGATGTCTTAGAATTATTCGCTCTCGTTTCCCTCGACAAAATAATATATTTCTTTAGATTTTTTTGCTAATGTTTAATTCGTAAAAATTGTACACTTTGCGTCCGAAAAATAGTTTGTCACTTATTTATGAATTATTTAAAAATAAAAAATCATTTTTTTAAACACAAAATGTTGTACTCTGATATTAATAGATAAAAAAGTATTCGTCAAATCTGTCACACGCTCTATATAACGTTTTGTCGTTCCCCTTCATCAATCATATATCAGATATTGCCAAGAAAATATCAGGAAAAACCTTGAGACGCTTTGTACCTAACAAGCTAATTCCTCGAAAGAAAAAATCTCGATTTTGTAACGATTTTGTGACGAAATGAAGAATTTCTCTGATCGCAATATTTCATGTAATGAGAGAATATTTAGATTTGAAGAAATTAATTAAAAATTTAATTAAAAGACGAGAAAGAGAAAGAGAGAAGAAGTTATTTGTCTTGTTAGTGAAACGCACAAGCATCGCATAATTAACGTATCCATAGTTTCCGTCTTCTCTTTTATAATATTTCGCAAATAGCAATATGAGACAGTGCAAAAGAGAATATAAAAGAGCTGCCAAACAACGAGTACATTATTCATATTATCAAATTCGGTGATTATATTTATGTTCATATGACGAATCATTCATATGATTGAGCGATCAATTTTAAACTTCAAACTTCTCAAATATAAATCTTTCCATGTCCCATTATGGATTAATAAGGGATTATTAGCGCGCCTATAATGAAAGCCAATGTGTATGCAGGAACACGCTCTGTCGAGTGATTTGAGGATTCGTCACGTACTCGATATCAATAGTGAGTTAATGAGTTTTGTGATCTTTGAAGTCGGGCGAAATAAACGGCTTCCGCGCAGCTATTATGTCACAATTTCGATTAATTACGATTTACAGCGATTTTGTAACGTATCCGGCATCCGATTGCGCGGGCAAGTATCCCAAGTGATTGTGAACAAAATCTGATAAAACCAAAACATACTCGATCTAGAACAAACAATATTTATTGGGCTTCATTATTTTTTTTTGTACTTTGATAACGATAAAATTTCTAACGCAAATTATGATATATTGCATTGAACGAAAAGTTTATGCCGTTTTTCGGTCTTCATCTGGCAAAAAAAAACGGCACAAACTTTCCGTTCAATCCAATATATCGCGAATCCTTGGTTGAAAATAAAGTAAATATTGCAGAAATAAAAAAAAATATGATTTGAAGTTAATTTCTTATTAAAAAGAAGCAATTATAATTCAATATTAAAAATTGCAAACGTTAAATTTAGAAGTTTCAGATATTCTGAAATAATAATTCAAGAATCTTTTGACGTTATACTTATTTGTATAGTTTACTTTACGTAATGATACATTAGAAGCATCGGTGTATACTGAAAATAGAAGCTTTTCGTAGTATCCTGAATAAAGAAAATGATATATCATCGGCTTTATGTATAAGGTGTATTGAAACTTGACCAAAGCTTTAATAGCACGATATTAAACTCCGGTTGCTGACAGCTAAGGCTTTCAAATTCTTTTGAAATTTTACAATACTAGGTAGCGGTTTAAGGCTACTCGATACAGGAGAAAAGTCCTAAATAAAACGCCTTCACAACGTGCTATGTGCCTTGCATGATCCATGAGCGCGTTTTATACCTTTGGGATTTGTAAGCATTATATCGGAATCCTCGATATATTGATGTGTAAGGCGAATAAGATCTAAAGTTAATAGAGAGTGCCAGATAATACATATTAAATATAGTTATTACTTTAGTTTATAAACATTACCAGTTCCTTCGTGTATTTGATATGATGATTTATTCTTTGCCAAAAATAAACAAAAAATTATTGCATCTCATTACATATATGCTATATTAATCTGTCGTGTTAAATCATTGTATAAATATTGTGTGTGATTTTATATCAACAATTTTTTAATAATCTTCAAGAAATAAAATACAAACACGATTCTCCAGGAGGACAGGAAAATAACTTTCCCTATTTTTTTTACAGGAAAATACATGTTTTTTTCTTACATAAATTGATTTTTCTTCATAAGATAATTTTATATATTTTTGTCATTGTTCTTTTTTTAATATAAGCTTTTTCAGACAGTTTCTACACCGCGTTCTCAACCGTAGTATAACGAAATAATGTTACATAAATTACTAAATCTACATTTTTACGTTATTATAAACTCACTCCGATTTAAAAATTTGTGAATATTTTGCAAAAAATAAAGACTTTTTTAATAAGAAAATTACATCACAGATAATAATGTATAATAATTAAATGTCGGCTAATTTATCTATATTTCGTTTATTTTTAATTTGAAAGCAACATTTTACGTGCAACAATTTAATACATAATAATAAATAATGTGAAGTAGATGCGTTGCAAGCGTGAAAAAAAGTGTAAAAAGCATTTTCTGTGTCGCCGGATATAACTAACGCGTAGCAAATTATGAAATAATTTGCAGTGACAGGCAATTGCTGCATCATTTGTAAACACAATTAGTATTCAATAATAATAGCAACAGGCTCAGAGTACTAACAAATAAATGGGAAAACTGGCACATAAGAACCAAGGCGCGGGTATTGGTGCGCGAATTTATTATTATTAAATTTCCGTAATAAATGTGTATTAAAAATCTACGTTTCGGACCGTGTTTTGCTCCATCTTCAGCATAGATATAAATATATAAAGATTATTTGGTATAGATTCTATGCAGGTTTTAGTGAGTTTTCCTTTCTGATTACCGATTTTAATTTAAAATTTGACTACAACAAATATTGTGTATGAAATTTAACAATATAAGTTTGCGCACCAATACCCACGCCTTGACTCTTTTATTTGCCAGTTTTCCCATTTAACAATTAATATTGGAGTCTCGTTTAGTTGTTGTATCGTTATCATGCATGAAGAATTAGTAGCACTGGATTTTTTGTCATGGAGAGATATTTGTAACGTGTCATGGAGAGATATTCAATTTTTTTAATTTTTTTTATTGTAATTAATAAAAATGCGCGCAAGAGAATAGCTTGTCTTTAAATCGCTTCAGATGATTTCAATTTCACACTTTTTTTAAACTTTATTTCGTGGGATTTTCAATAGCTGCTATGTTGTTATAAATCAATCACGAGACGAGTATAACTATTGGAAACTTTCAAAAAGGAAGACTCAAGAACTTCTGTTAGTCAAAGAAATTAAAATTAGAACAGCTATAAATTTCAAGAACGGATACTGATTTATATCAAATTTATTAGAGCGTGAATTGTAATGCGAATTGTTTTAATTATATGCTTTGTAATTAGTAATTGATCGGGAATTTTTGGTGGAAATTATATTATATCGACTGAATCTCTGATTCGCCTATTGTTAATTTGCTTAATAATTTACATAATCTGTTGTAATCACTTGTCGTTAACAAAAAATTTAATATTATACTCTAAAACTTGGCTTTTACATTACTTGGCATTTTTCTCGATCTTACAGACGTTTTACATTCTTTTTATATCGCTAAAGATACTTAATAAATCCCTGGAAAAAGAGTGCATAAAAAGTTATATTATTCAATTAATTATTTCGTTGATTTCTTGCAACTTTGTTTCAGAGCTTTCTTATAGCATCTTCCATTGGGAAAAACTCGCAGCACTGAGTGCTTGAAGCATATATCATTGGTAATTTTAATGAGCATGTTCTGAATGCTGCACATTTCATTGGGAGTGCAAACTACTTCCAGTGCGCATTGAGAGCATTTTGCACTCCCAATGAATGTGCAGCATTTAGAACATCTCATTAATATTACCAATGATATACGCTTCAAGCACTTAGTGCTGCGAGTTTTTCCCAATGGAAGACGCTATTAGTACCTACAGTTTTTATAAAATATAGTAGCATGACGATAACATACATAAATTAAATATTAAATAATTCCTATACAATCTTAATTTATTCTTTTAATTTATCTATGAACTTATACACATTGATGATATAATTATATCGAGAATTAGTTGATAAAAATATAAATAATACGCAAAAAAATTTATATTTTCTTTGCTTCCAGGGCTACCCAATGAGTTGAGCGTATTTTGGCAACAATATCCATGGACACTCGGAGTAGGTTTATGCAAAATCCGAGCATACGTCTCAGAAATGTAAGTTAAGACAATAAAAATGTTATTAAATAAAATAAATCATGAAAACAAAGAAGCAGATTTAGAGTAGGTCGACTTTTCAAATCTTAAAGTATAATTTCTAACGCAACTGGTAATTTGTATTTTTGTTACATATTCTCGGAGAAAAATGAATAAAAAGAAACCGTCAATAAACTGATTGTGAGTAACAATAGAGCAAATTTTACGACTTACAGAACTGTATTCCATTGAAAATATTCAAGCTCAAAATATACAAAGGATCTTAAATAGAATCTATAATGCTAAAATAACCGTGACATACATACTGCATGAAGGACACAGTCTCAAAGCTACAAATAATACTAGTTAGTCGGAAATCCTTTCATTTCTTTGCATTTAGATTACACGTAACATCTTTTGTGCCACAATTTTAAACGTCTGTGCAAGAGGAGTACGGATCTTGCAATAATTATATAGAAAGTACAAACATCTTCTCTCTTTTGCAAAGCTCCTCACATTTCCTTTGTGTTACAAATGTGTATATTTTAATTTAAAAAACTACATACAATAATAAAATCTACACAAATACTTTGTACAATTTGCGTTTTAAAATTTCGGAAAACATATTTCTTAATTGTAAAAGAGTGCAGAAAATTTGCAAATTTAAGCGAGTGAGAATAGAAGAATATGTATTATAGAAAATAATAATTACACAAAATCTCTCTCTCTCTCTCTCTCTTATATATATAATATGTAGAGAGAGAAAGAGAGCATATTAATAATAGCTTTTTGGAAGGCTCTTCGAATAGTTTTATGAGCACTCTTTGTATTAATTACTTGGCGATTATAAAATTGTACTTGCATTTATGTAAAATTAATTGTGCGCTTTTTCAAGGTCATCTTACGTATCAGTGTTAACGATAATGGTGTTTTCATTGGAGCGGTACTTGGCGATATGCCACCCCTTGCATTTGTATGTGATGAGCGGACTTAAACGACCTGTGCGATTCATCGTAGGCGCCTGGTTATTAGCTCTTATCTTTGCCCTGCCCTTTGCCGTTTACACCACCGTCAATTACATCGAGTATCCGCCAAGTGAGTGGTCTCTTGTGTAATAGCCGTAATCTACTTGTTCAATCGAGTGTTCGTGACCAAAAATATAAGTTTTACATTTTTCAAGGAAAATGATATAAATACCGTCGTCAATAACGCAGTGTACGATACAAGTGTCTAAAGTCTAAAAGATTCGTAATAGCTTTTACATAGCATAATAATAACCGAGTCAATAATCTCTTAGGAAGATTACTCTCTGAAATTCTTATTTTTATTTAAAAAAATACAAAAACAATTCGATAATATAACGTGGTATTTTATGGTATTTCTCAATTATTTTTGACAAGAAAAATGTAATCGAGGGTTCTTATATCAATTGTTATATATATAAGATTACTTCTCAAGTATTTAATTAAGGCCAATCACTTCAAAATTCTGATAACACAATCGAGCTTCTTCATTTTGTACTTTACAAAATAACTAAAAATATAAAAAGAAAAGAAAGTGAATAAAGCTAATACATAATTTCAGTGAAAGATAAATTTGTCATTTGTATTATTTTTTAAAGGTATATAACTGACGATATATTAAACGTACACAGTTTATTTGAGGAAGAGAAGTGTGTGTGTAAATACATGAACGCAGTGCGTTTCCTATTTACATGTAATTATGGTCGGCCTATTTGCTCGTCGTGAGTACACTTGCGCGCTATCGGCTAATAAATTTGTTTAAAGTGCACGCTCGTCCAATTAAACAACTTATTTTTTATTGGTTCTCCGATTTTAATAATCGTGGATACAGCAAACAGAATAATTAATCGATGACTTTATATTTTTACGCACAATAAGCGCTACTAATATAAAAAAACATTAAACAGGAAAAGAGTTATTCTCTTAAAAAAATTATAAGAAAAATATACTTCAAAAATATGTCAATCTAAGAATTATAAAATAAATAAATAATAAAGAATTTGATAAGATAGAACAGATAGAATAGAAAAAAATAATGTTTCATAAAATTCTAATTTTGAAATCCAAAAATTCATATTTTATGTATATGTTGTGAATTTAAAATTATTAGTTTCTCTTTTTACAATCATTTCCTTTTTTGTATCTTTTCTATACATTTTATTTATTCAAATGATATATTAAAGTTACACTCATTAAATAATCTTCCATTTTTGATAATTAATTAAAATTCAAATCGAAGCAGTTTTATTAACTTCCATACATATTGTAGCGTATAATTATTAAAGTTACTTTACACAGCTTCGTAATAAAAAGCAAAATATATGATAAAATCCGATACTGGCTAAGATTAAGATAAGAGATTAGATAAAAAATCCGTTTTCTTTGAAAGAAAAAAGGCTAAATATTTAAAAGCTTTTTATCGACAAATTATAATCTGTAAAAAAAGAAGATGAAAGCATTAAAAAATAAAAAGAGAAGCGTTCTCTTTATAGAAACTTTGTGGGCGGTCGTCTCAATCCTGCGGCACGGTCACATTTTGCCGCGATTATTTCAACCATTTCATTCATGAGTGTACATTGGACTTTATTATGGAGAGGTAAAAACGATCATCTCCTTCCTCAGTAGGGTGTATAAAAATTCGACTATAAAAAGCTGATTTTAAATAACTTAACAGAAAATTATTTTACAAAAATACTTTAATTTCAAAATCAGAGATTGCTTCTAAGTTTTATTTCTTTGAATAAATGAGAAAGTCCTTCTATTATTTGTTATTTTATATCTAATCTATTTAATTATAATTAAAGTTTAATCCAATTTTCTTTTTTTTTTTTTTTGATATAGCTATTTATTGTAATTTTTATCAAAATTAATCGCAAGTTAAGGAAACTAAATTTCTTATATGGAAATTAGATTAAAAAGTTATGCTACAGCAATAACTAGATTAAAAACTGTAAACAATTTTTGTTTATTTTCCATTTAGCATTCGATTACATCGCCCTCCAAAGAGATAATAGATGTTAAAGGAGAATATAATAGAGATTTATCTTTTGTAAAATAAGAGCTCTCTCATAGATGTGTCATGTGCAGCAACATGATAATATCAAGTGCCGTTTGGAAATTCAAGAAGAAACCGATGCCACACATGACGACAATACTAAGTGTGTTGTAATTACATCGCATAAAGAGAGATCTGCCACGGCGTTTGTTATCACGAATGATAACGGGCTATTCGCGATAATCGATCAGTTTGTCGGCTCGCGCGAGAAATTTGCATCCGACCGCGGGGAATAAATAAATCTGACACTGAGAAATGCCATTTAATGCCCCGCAAAAAATTCCACGGAAACAATAAATCTCGCAAGTGTGTATTTACCGCGTTTAATTCGTTTCAACAAACAAATGTATCAATCTTCGTTCTAAGCTTTGTAATGATTTCACGATCGCGAATTTAATACTGCGTATTGTTAAAGAAAATAAGAAAAGAAAATAAAAAAAGAAAAACTAATATCTTTCTTTCTTCTCCTGCACAATGCGCAACAGATGTTATACGCCTCTGCACAGGATTTAATATTCATCGCGAATTTCACTAATTTACTGAAATACATCGCCTTAAATTATAGCAATTCATAATTTTAATGCGTCTGATAATTTCGGTACGTCTGAAATACATTGTCATTTTCATCTTACGACCCATTTATGTTAATATTTCATTTTACATTTCATGTAATCTGACGCTATTCAGTCTAATACGAGTAACAAAAGAAAAAGTAATTAATTTTTGCGTGTAATTCGTACAATAATTAAAGTTCTTGTTTCAAAATAATATACATAAAACACATATAGTGTTGCATTAATATATTTTTCTATACAAATTTTGTTATATATACATAATATGAGTTTATCTAAAAATATATTTAAATTAAATTAAAATTAAAATTTAAGCCAAATATAAATATAATTGTTTATGAATATTTAATCACAAAAACAACTTTTGTTTATCGTGTTATTCTTGTGTTATCCATGTGATTATGAAAAGTATGAATTATTGCTTCAAATGGTATATTTCGTGAATCCCATTTAAAATGTATGTAAATACGTTTCATGCAATTGCACGGATGTGAAACGAATATGTTCAATTGCGAATTGATTAGTCGGAACATGTTCCTGAACGTGCCTGTATTGATAGGATTTAAGCTTTTTAATCCGATAACTGTAATATATAGTTAAGAGATTAATGCTAATAAAATTCTCCATTTATGAGAAAATTTATATATCAATTTATTAAATTAATAAAATCAACACTAAAATTCGATAGATAAGGATTTTTTAATAAAAAATATGCCTATTTATATATAAATAATTACTTAATCTTGATCATTCGTGTAATTGAAACATAAACTTTATGAAAGAAATATCCTCATCGGTATAATAAAAAATATTAATAAATATTGTTTTCAAACTTAACGTCAATAAGCGTTCTCTCACTCATGGATAATATAAAAAATTTTTGCGATCTTCCGCTAAATAAAAAAAAAAAAAAAAAAAAAATCCGAAGCTTAAAATATCGAATAAAGCTTGTAAAATATCGAATAAAAAAATTATAAAAATTCGTATATGATTAATTCATAAATATTCACAAATTATATTAATTAAAAATTATTATAATTTACTTTTATGTAGAGCTTGTAGAAAAAGTACTGGAAAATAAAATAATCTGGTGCTGCACGTTAAGAAACAAGAGTGTTTCTCGCATTTGTTTGCAGGATCCGGTCGCTATTCCGAGGAATCGGCGATGTGTGCCATGCTGCTGCCTAACATGCCCAAGTTCCCGCTTTACGAGCTCAGCTGTCTCATATTCTTTCTCGTGCCGATGCTGTCGATAGCGATGCTCTATGTGAGAATGGGTCTCCGAATACAAAGCAACGGCCTCGGGCATAGCATCGAGGGCTCCGTTCACGGAGAAACGAAGCAGGCTCAATCACGAAAAGCCATCATCCGAATGCTCAGTAAATTTCCGTCTTTTTCGGATCATATACGCACACATGCACGCACACATACAAACGCACACTACGTATAGGGAAATGTACACACATACACTTACGTAAGCTGCAACATACCTCATAGAATTTACCACCGTACCACATTTTATTTCAATCGCACTTCCTTTTATACCCCCGCGAGTCCCACGCGTGGTGCTTTCGTATCCTTGTATTTTATAAATTGCACATAATAAAATTTTGCATCGTTATCGATTTACTACTGATATCATTCATTACGGAGAACGGAGTTGAAGAGCCAATTAAACTTGATACAAGGGAATCGTGGATTATTTTTAAAATATTGTTGCTTTTTAAAATATCGTTGCTTTTTAAAATATTGTATGGCATGCATATTTCTATAATTTTTTTCTGACATAAAAATATATTTTCTTAAAGTTATAATTTATAATCGCTGATGTACGTATATAAAATATAAAGAAAAAAGTCATATTTAAATAATTGTTTTGTTTCTTACAAAAGATATTTCCATTCGATAAGAGATTACTGTTGTAATTTGTTTCCGTTTTGGAAAGAATTTCAAACTTCTAAAAATTCTAAACTTCTATTAGTATATTCTGATACCATTTTAAACGTATACAAGGAGTTATATTGCGAACACACGATTTTCATTAGGTGAGACTAGTTATTATGAGGATGACAAAGTTCTAGGAGATAACTGCATGATATTCATTTTCGTACAAGCGTCCCATAATGGAAGATGTTGAAGTTTGATCGTCCATGCATAACTTTATATGATAAGCAGTCCAATAATCTGCATTGTTGGCAAAGTTAATTTGATTTCAAGTCAATCTTACGATAGACATATCTGTCAACAGTTCAACTGCTTGTTAACTTTGAGTCGAGAATTCTGATATCTTTTTCTTTCTTTGCACGAAAATCATTCTTATGGTTGTTTATTATGTCTCGTCGCATATAACTGATATAATTTAAAATGGATATTTGTAGGTAATCATCAATGAAACATTTGTCCACGATTACTATAAAGTATTTAGTTGCTTGCATAACACGAATAGCTTTCGTTTTATTTATTCCGAAAAAAACGATCTTAAATATACGCAATGTGGCGTGTTCAATATACATATTTCTTGTAGAGTATTCAGAGAAAAGTTCTACCTTTTTATAAAGTTCTTTATGAAAAGATAAAACATTGCTGATCGCATACAAAAGAGATTTCAAGTGTCATCAATTTCTCATTGAATGCGTTTAAAAAGAAGATATGGTTTATATCGAAATAGTAAATACGAATATTAAAAAGATATTAAAATATAAGATTTTTGTACGCACATTTGTGTGTGACTAACGAAGCATGTAAAAGAACAAATAATTTTCACTGATAATTTTTATTTGCATTTGACACCAATATGACATTAGTAATAAATTAAATCACATTATTTTGTTTTGCTTAATACAAAAAAAAATTTATCTTTTAAACATTAATCAAAATTAATGAATTAGAAATGAATCAGTCAAAATTATTTTTTAATTTTATTATTTCCAAGAAGAAAATGTTTTCAAATTTTACATAAGCATCACTTTTTTCCCTGAGAATCGTAATTATACAGAGTGTATCGGAAATCATGGTATAAATAAAATAGAGGTAATTTCTCATACAAATGCAAATCGAAAATGTAGAATCAAAATACACACAATTATTTCTGTTCGTATTTGTGAATAATGTTAAATGGCTTGTTATGGGTCGAAGTAATGCAATAGGTATTAAAAAAACATTTGTTTCATTATATTACAAATTGCTGAAAATGTTGCTCTTTTTGTCACATATAATTTGTTACTCGACGAATTAAAGAAAGGTGGATTCATAATAATGTGTTCCAAATCTTCACTGTTACAAACTCTTACAATATTATCTTATAATTAGAGACAATTTCGATTATTTTTGACTATATATACTATGTCCGCGTATTCGATAGATCTTTAATATCAATTTTCTCCAAAAAAATAACTTATTTGAAAAAAAATGTAACTTAACATTTTCGATTTGCATTTGTATGAGGAATCACCTGCATATCGCGTATACATGCTATGATTTTCGATACATCCTCTATATCTCAATGCCATCTTTCTATCTGTTGCGCTTATAGAAACTATGATGTTTGCTAAATATTTCCATAAAAATAAAAGGATTGTTTGCTGCATTTCATATCGATTAATCATTGAGCTGCTTCGAGTCTGCATATCTTTAGCCGCGGAGATAACGCGGCTTAATTAAAAGTTATTAGATTTTATGTATCAACATAAATTTACCGATTCATGACAACACAATATCGTATGTGAGATATTCAAGCTCGACGATACGTAATTAATTATAGGGAAGCGCGAGAGAGCTTGTCATACGATAGCAAAAGTACTATTTAGAACATGACCTATTTTAAATCGCATAATTCATCATCCATGTATCAAGTTTTAGCGAAGAATAAAAAAAGATTAATAATAAAATAATTTTGAACGCTCGTCAGAATTTGTTTTTACATGATCCTTTTACTGATTTCGCAACAGTTATTGACAAATATGTCACTGATGTGCTAAAAAGATATTTGAATATTGTCAATGACGACTTGTCATCGAGATGTTTGACATCCAAAATATAAAATAACGTTATGACACGAACGCAGCAACCGACTACGAATATTGTTTTTGCACACATATACAAACACAAATGCAATAAAATTTCTTTAATTAAATTTATTCGAGTAAGATTAACGGGTGGAAGAGTTTATTATTTGTGTCATGGAAGAGAATAAAATTTATCTTGGTATAGTACTCGATATATTCGTGAAAAACTCTAATTTACAATCTTTTTTCTTTAAGAATAATAAGCTTTTAATTATAAATAAGTGTAATTAAAGAATTGAACAAATATTGGGAGATTTCTTTAACATCGTTTAAGAGATGCCACAATAAAAAAAATGAATTCAATAATTTGTGAGGCATTTTGCATGGATAACGAGATATCAATATATATCTCAAATCAATATATTATTAGACTTATATTAATACATTCTTAAAATGAACGAAGAATGTCTATATAAAACATATTTTTAATCTTTTACTGAAACTCTACAATTTAAGATATGATTCAATTGCGTGGATATAGTTCAAAATACGTATTATGGGCAAAGTTCTTTCTGGCACTCTTACAAAAACACATAACACACGCACATATACGTAACATACATACATATACACACACATATTTGTATATATATATACATATATATTTTTCACCGCTTTGCCTGTTAATTTCTTTTTCAATATTGCAGTTGTAATTTTTTTATATAAGTTTGCTTATTATATATATATATTCTGAATCCTGCGTGAACCACTGAATCTATACAATTCTAAATCTTATCTGACCCTACTTACTTTTTATTCCGGATAATTTGGAATACTGAAGAGATGGCGATCAAAAATTAAATTCTTTCCATTTCCTTGAATATATCGATATTTTTAAACTACAGAAACAATATAAATGGACGAATATCTCCGAGCAAAGTAGAAAGCGATGCATTTGTATCACAGGCGATGTTTATACAGTCTCGATATGTAGACTATATTTTCATATGCAGATTCATTGAGAATTTCTCTAATGAATAATAATTTTAGCGAATTAAATCGCTTGGAAGAGAAGCGCTCTTATTCTCTCATTAATTTCGCTCAATTAAAAGAAAAATTTCACTTCAGTAAACATTTAATCTAAATTTTTATTAAAGCGTGATTAAGTTTATGAGTTAGAAAGGTCAATGGAAATCAGAGTTATATGAGATGCTCGTGTTGAGAATTCTCTCTCACCCTTGCATCGACAGTGAAACATGAAAGATATCGATAGCTTCATTCCACAGGTGCAGTCGTGATAACATTTTTTATCTGCTGGGCACCCTTCCACGCTCAGCGATTATTGTACGTATATCAGGTGTCGGCCTTCGAAGTCATCAACGAGTGGTTATATCCGCTGGGCGGTTGCTTGTACTACTTCAGCACAACCGCGAACCCGATCCTGTACAACGTGATGAGCGTCAAGTACAGGATGGCATTCAAGAAAACGCTTCGCTGCACGCCAACAAGCCCTACCATCACGAGGGACGATCTCAGCAGCATGAGAGATAGCACGGTGTGCGGTTGCGGATCCAGAAGGGGATCCCAGGTGGTCCGTGTAAGAAGCGTACATTATCAACGTAGCATTAAGTAAGCACACGTGCAGTAATTTACCACGTTAATCCTATCATTATCGAGTGCTTGCGTGTCGAGTAAAATCTTTTCTATTTTTCTACAAATTTTCTCGCGATTTCTTAGAAAAATGATTAAATTAAATTAAATTAAATTTTAAATCTAAAACTATCATGTTTGTCGCATTTATTATTTTTAAACTCAATTCTACCACTTTTTGCCTCGTCTTTTTGAGCGTCAAAATAACGTTGCGTAATCTCATAATTAATCCAAAATTAAAATTGAAATAATCGTGATTTTTGTTTACTTTCAGATGCAACATGTCGCATGCGAACAAGATGCTTCGTTCGTCGACGAGATTACGTTACGACGACGAGGACGACGAGGTGAGTTACTGCAGCGCGGAGAGATCCTGCGACATCCTTAGTCCTGACGCGCGGCTACAGGGCACGAGGACATCCTCGTTCCTCGTGCATTCGAAAAATGGTAGGACCAAGTACTTGTCGAGCGAGAAAACGAAGGATGACATCGCGCAAATGACAATGGCAAATGAAACGTGTATCTGATTCTCGGCTTATTTTAAGAGAGGAAGAAATATTACGGTGTAAGAATCGTAAAGAACATTCCACAGACTGGATAAAAAACTGCTGTGTCGCTCCTGCATATATAACGAGGGTTAACTGATGTGCAGATTAACGGAAAACGTGCATTATCCCAAAAAGACGATTATTGGGGGAGAAGGTGCCGCGTTTTCCCCTCGCAAAAACATATCCGGGATTTTATGGAAAGTAATGTTTTGCCGAAGTAAAGTTGTCAAGTGTCTGAGTGAAAAATAATATGAGTGTCGCGGAGATTGACAACAGTTATATTTACTTATTATAATACGGGAATATATATATATATATTGCACAATATTGTGCAACCGAATAAAAATATCCAGAGGTAATTAAACTTCGCGGCGCGGAATTAATTTAATATGCACACTTCACATATAAATTTATAAGGAAAATGTACGAATGGCGGAATCGAGTTGCAAGATGAGATCTAAAATATTCGACTAGATAATGGATAATAGAGTAGACGATAGAATATATTCAATATATAAACAAATGTTTGTTCTAACAATAAGTGCAAAAGACTGAAGAAAAATAAGAGACGAAAATGAAGAACGTATTGGCAAACGTTTGCAATCTTAAGCAATAATTGATGCGCTTCAAGTTGACCGTAAGAATAATTTATAAATGAACACGTAGCTTTTAATCTTCTGATTATAATTTGGCAGCATCAATATGTGAAAAGTATTATAAAATGGCATATCTTTGGGCTTTTTCAATCTCAATCATTTTTCTATATTACTTTATTTGCAATATCTCTGAAGACTATTATAACTTTAAATCACCCACACATACGATATCTATTTAATTTCTATTACAAATAATCTATTTTAAATTATCTAGTTATTTTAAATTATCTAGTTTAAATTATCTAGTTTTAAATTATCTAATATTTAAATCTATTTTATTTCTATTGTAAATAATAAACAATTTTTATGAATAAAAATACTGTGCGAATAATTCTTTTATCAATATATCGTATTATAAAATTTTATTTCGCTATTCGTACAGCTTTTTCGTAAAGTCGTAAAATAATTAAAAAATATTCATTGACACATAATATGTCTGTCGACATTTTCACTATTTTCGAACGCAAAAAAGTAAAAAAATTATAAGATTGCACGAAAAACGGATTTACGAGAGCGAGGTAATATATTAATGTGTCGACGGGGAACAATCCTCTTTCAAAGAATTCAAAAGAATCGCATGAACATTTGAAGAACAAACGCGCGATAAATGAAATGCAGAAAGCAAAGAGAGCAAGAGGAACGTAAGCTTCTTTGAGAAATCCTAAATTTTCAATCATGAAGAGAGATAAATATACGAGAGAGATGTGTCACACACTCGTTCGGCATATCGTATCAACGAAACAGATAGGACCTTTGGAAATTTGATCAACAGCGCGTTTTATAAGCATATGTGTAACGTTGCAAGCAAACTATCTCTTAAATCGAAAAAAAGCTTTTGTGGATCGAAACAAAGTTTAAGTCTCGCGATTGCAATGCAACTTTCGAAAGAAGCTCGCAAGCTTGTCTTGTTTTTCGAATAGAAAGAGAGAGAGAGAGAGAGAGAAAGAGAGAATCCATTATGCTTGTATTAAGCTTGTAATAAAAGACAAATGTGTAAATATGTGTACATGACTGTGTGTGTGTCTGTATGTATACGGCTGCGTAAGACAAACGTATCGGAGAGAAGAGGAGTTTCATGATATATTCGCATAAAAGATTACTTGCACGATGCTTCTTTAGGTAATCTTGAGGGAACATTGGTAAAAGGAATTACTTTTCGTGCTCCAGATACAAAATGAGAGATGTGTAAAGAATTCTAATGCGCGAGCGAGAAAAAGAGAGAGAGAGAGAAAGACAGAAAAGATATAAGATCACGGGATTCGCATCCCCTATCTATTCCAGTCCCTTCGCGTGGTTATCGGTGATTTTATCGTATAATCGGAGATTTTCATTTCCGCAATACATTTCCTTTTTTCCCCCCATCTGCCTCGAAGGAAATAAATTGTCGCCGAGGTGTATCGATTATCGAGACTGTCGACGGATGTTCACACATTTCTGTATACGTGCAACAGCAGCAGAGTGGATTCTCGTGTTACTTGGCTCTCTACTCATCCGCGATTGATAAATATGATTGATTGAAAACTTTGTTATGCGATTGAAAACTATCTCGCGATTCCCGCATGTACTATGTCACTGAATCGACCTCGTTTAAACACATAATACATATATTTCATAATTTGTGAATGTAAAACCAAAGAAATCTATTATAATAAATAAGACATTTTTCTTTCTACAGTAATTGCTCCTATTTGTCCGTTAATTTGTAAACAATACCTGTACTATAAAATCGTTTATTTAAAAAAAATAAAATTTCAGTAAATGACGTCATCGTAAAGCAACATGATATAACATAATGATATAGTTGATATGTAATTGGTTATTCTTTATATTACAAATTGTATTGCAGAGAAATCTCTCATCTAATAAAAATTTTTAAGTGAAATATGATGACAGAATTTGCTGAATCTATTTCAGCCCATCCATTTTGAGGCAACGGATCTATCTACAATCTATATCTACATCTGCAACATCTACGAATCTATTTTACCTTAAAATAAAATAAAATTTCATCATTCATCGATGCGCAACAGCATAGTTGATATTGATGCTGATATTGAATTTATCTGTAACATACAAATATAAAATTCAAATTATAGTAGCGCCCAAAATATAATCAATATTTCAAAAAATTATTATTTTACATACAAAATATTTTACATCCCATGAGTACGATAATAAGCAGATATACATAAATATGAAACAATTTTATAAATTCTAAAAAACTGTTTCTTTTATAATAGAAACATTTATAGAATTTATATAAAAACCTTTTCTCTCTAATTTTCTCTTGTTTAATTTATTTAAATAATGGGATTGAATTAATGCGCGTACGCGATTTTTAATGATTAATATACAAATAATAAATACTCACCCTAGAGTTGCTCCGCCGGTGCAGGATGTCTTTCATAAAGTCTCCTTCTCCTCTGAGATGGTCAGGATCCGTTGACTCACACGCGCGATACTTTAAACGGCACTCCCGCATTTTTATTAAGTTATTACTCTCGTACTTTGACGCGCGAAAATTAATTAATTGTTGATTTTATAATAATCATAGCAAATTATACTTCGATATATTAGTCGCGATCGCGTTTAGAGAAAGAATTCGACAATATACGAAGCGTTTCACACCACTTCTTCATTGCTCGAATGTCATCGTGCAAATAATGACAAAGCCATAAGATATAAACACCATCTTATCTCGCGCCAAGTCACAGTAATAACGAGGCACCCCGGATCAGCAAACCGCGTGAAGTATTTAGGTCAGCAGTTTGCGCGGATTATTTATTGTTAGCTCAGGAAATTCGGAACGTCACATCGAAATAAGTGCTCACAAAATGCAATGACTTTCCCAAGTTCCAATATTTTTTATTGAATTATGCAAATAGAATGACTATGATTATTGATCATCGGTCTATGTTTCCGCACGAATTAATTATTTTACGTTAATATATGTACATGCTAAAGCCACGTTAAAGCCACGTTAAAGCCACGCTAAAATCCTTGCCAGCTTCTTGCCATCTCTATTTTTATTTCAATTTTTATGACAATTTCAATATTCATACAATAGATACTTGTGCAGATAATGAAAAATTCGTTAAACACACAACGAAAAGATTAAGAAAAAAAATGCGTGTTTCCTGTTATGTCAAAAATTATTATAGTCATTCAACGCTGTCTCTTTTGTGCGCTTCTATTTTATCCAAAAATATTAATATAAAAAATATAACTACAGTATCTCTCTTAGTCTGACTCTTCCCCTTCGACCTGTCCGGCATGGGTGACCCTACCGGTAACTTATTAGAATTTTTGAGTGAAACAAGTTTAATTGCTTTGAGAGCGATTAAACCCAATTTACAATAAACATATGTTTGATCAAAAATAGATTTTTAGAGAATCTGGTTAATATAAATAAAGTACATTCTCCGTTTTTGACTATTTTGTCTTTAAAGTACAAAATTCTTTGCCCTGATTAATTAATTAATCAAACAATTACTCAAAATATTTTATTGATTAATCTATATAATAATTCAAGTATTCCTAATAATCCAAGAAGTATATGACGTCATTAATCGGTCTGAGAACGATCAAACTTGCTTCATTCAAAAACGCTATATGTTACCGCCGGCATAGCTCTCAGGTTCATTAGAGCACACAAACCTCCTCACCCGGCAAACGCCTTCGTTAAGGTGGAGATACCGTCGAGGAGGAAAAATTTTTATTCAAATTTTATATTATTAGAATTCATTAGAAACTTTTAAATCAGATATAAGTGATAAGCAACTATTAATATTTGAAAATACATAATGATTATACATATATAATAATGTAATAATACATATTGAAAATACATAAAATATATATACATATTTATAAATACTTTGTTGCATTATATATATATTGAATATATAAAAACATATATAAAAATATTTTATTAGATTATATTACACGAAAATGTTCGAAATACGTACAATATAAAATTTATTAGAATTTTTAAATTAAACGTAACTGATAGTCTACCAAAAAAATCATCAATAAATTTATCGATTATATCTCTCCTTCAATTAAAAGAGAAAGATTTTTTAAAGAAAATATCCGATGCATAGGAGGCGTGAAAAGATAGATGAAGTTTTGATATTACCCAAGGATTAAATCAGAAGATAAATCGCGGTTTAAATTTTGCGAATGTACACGATGAATAAATAAATTGACGGTAATTGTAATATGTTGCGACAATAAAAATGTTTCGATATTTGGAGCGCAATTCATAATTTGTAATTATAATGTGCTTAAGAAATCGAACGCACATTATAATAAAATCTATATAGAATTTAATAGCCGATTTATTTTCAAATGCGCGATTTTATACGAATTCCGCGATTAAATATATTTGTTTCGTGAACAATTGCGAAACAGGATAAAATAAACTTTATAATTCTTAAAATAATCGCGTTATCGCCGCGTTTAATGGAGGATAACTGACCAAACGATTAGACCAGATCAGGATCCCTCTGCCGAGTAAAACACTGGTTAATATCTGACAGAGATAAGAACGATCCTAAAAGTGGAAAGCAACTACAACTTGTCTTATTTCTATGTCGGGCCCTATGGAATCGATCCACAAAGGAAAGTTAAGTGATTCATTAAACGTCAGAAATCCCGCTACAGGAGGGAACGAATTCCCGATCTTCCTGATTGCTCCCGATAGCAGTGATTTCGGCAGCGAATTAACGATTGTTACCATCGTCATCATCTTCAATATATGAGATAAAAATTCGCGTAAAAAAAAACATGTTCTTCCATTATTAAGGAATATCCATCCATTTTTATTAAAAAACAACTGGATATAACGATCTTTATGTATATGTGGTTACAATCGAATATGTTTAAGAAAAATGAAATACATGCGCTTTTAT